CCCAACCCTGGACGCAGTTAGAGTTTTCAGCATCAGTGTTAGAAGGGGTTTCTTTCAGGATTTCATTTTTATTTTATGTATTTGTGTTTATTTGTTTATATGTAATATATACACACATGTGTACATAGAATAAATGCTAAAGCCATAAACCCAATGTGATGATCTATGCATTGTTTATTTCTGTTTGGGGAAAAGCTATATCTTTCATATACTTTATTTTTTACATTTTTTTAATCATTAGAAAAATATTTTTAAAAGAGAAAGAAACATTTAGTTGGTTTCTTAGAGACAGAGTTGTTGATCATCTATTGTGTCTGACATGCTATACTAGATATGGTAGGATGGGGTTCAAAAGAAAAAAACGATAGTATCTTGAATATTTAGAGTTTAGTTTGAGGACATGTAATGTAAAAATTTTTAAATTAAAAACGATATTATTAAGTAAAACGATACAAATGTTTATTAAATATTGGAAGAAGACAGAGTAGTGAAATGATGCTGGGTTGGAGGCTAAGAGTCAGGTCAAGTATGATAATAAGAGAAGATCTCTTAGAGTTGTTTAAGGTTGAGTCTTCATATAGAAACATTCCCCTCATAGCTTCATTTATTTCACAAATATTTATTGACCATCTACAACTTTCTGGGCATGTGCTGGATTTTGGAGATACAGTGGTGAATAAGGCGTCATACTCCCCAACCTTCTTAGCATTTGAGCTTGAATAGTACTTTTGTTTTCATGTAAAAAAGAAGCAATTTCTATATAAGAAGCAGTAGTCAGGAAGATGTAGCCCATTTGAGGGTAAGCCTATGAGGATGTAGTATTCAAGACTCCTGCAGATTATGTGTTGTTTCACGTACCTTTAAAATGATGGTGGTGATGCTGACCTGTTGAACTATAAGGCTGTTGTGAAGATTAATAAGAATGTTAACAATGTTATTCAAGTTCTCTCTATTACTATTATTACTTCCGGTGATTGCTAGGTAAATGTGAAGTTGAAACTATGACCTTTGCCCCTCTATTTATGACACAGCCTAGGAGACAGTAGCAGTTTTCTTTTTTTAATGCCTGGTTATATAAACTTTTCCATCATCCCTGGATTTAAGGGTAGATTAGACTCGTCAGGATATGGAATGACTGCAAAGAAATCAATAGGGGATCACCTCAGATAGCCGGGGTCAATTCTCCTGAGGCCTGTTCATTTTCCTAAGCACAATACACTTATTGATTTCAGCAACTGCCTTTTCTTTGAGTTGAGATTTGCTATCATAAAAATAACACTTTAGTTGTAACCACTAAATGCAACTGGCTTCTTAATTAGAAGAAGCCCATAAGACCTTAATCTTTAAATACAACAAAAGCTCACATGAGTTTTTGAGATGTAGTTTATATAACGTTGCTCCAGCTTGCACTGTGTTGTATGAATTGAGAAGTTACTCTCTATAGCACCGAGTCATCTCTTATAAACATCTATAACAGTATATTTTAGGCATCCTGTTGCCTGTTTAAAAAGATATAATAAAGAAAAAAACTCATAGTTTTACACAACTTTCTTCCTCTCAAGCACTTCTAACCAATTAGGAATCTAAGTTTATACTGTTTCCTAGGCTTTTGTTGTCAAAATATTTCCTGCAGCAGTAATGCCTTAAAACTTTTTGAAACGTCACCTGCAAAATCATGCGTTATTTTGTGTTTATTTTACAATACTCTGCTTTATCTGGGAAGTATTTTGGCATCAATAATTACTTACTATACCTCATAAGCTACTATATTCAACATCTTGAAATTGTTCATATTGAAAACTTTATAAAGTGTTTTTTTAGGGTTCTTTGGAATCTACATTTTATAGCTGGGGAGGGATATTTGCTGGCTAGTCCACAGTGAGTAACCAGCAGCAGCCCTGCTGTTCTGCGCGTCAGGCCCACACAGGCTGCTCGATCCTAAGACTTACCCATGGATGCTGTGTAGACATGGGCAGTAGCTGGCTGTGGATTACTTTCTCTTTAAAATTTAGTTGTTTGCTGGAAATCGAGCTTTTGAATTTTGTAGGTTCTTTGTTCTCCTTAGTTGAAGCATATTTAAATGATATTGCCCAAAGGGCATACAGAGAAGCAGCGTGACTGACTTTCCGGAAATTAGTAAGCAGTAGAGTTATTTTTAGCATTTACTCCTTGCAAACATTTCCTTTTGTTCTTTGGAAGATGTTGATTTGTTCATTCATTTGCTCTGCTCTCTCCCTTACTACAAGATGGCTTAGATGGAATAAGTCTTCTCTACTCTGCGTGTCATAACTGAGTTAATTCTTGATTCAATTTTAACTCATGAGTTATTCATTTGTTGGGTTTCTCTAGCATCTGAAACACCACCACCACCACCACCACCACCACCAAACACACACATGCATTTTGTTGTTATTTGGAATTCTTTTCCCCCTCATCTGCAAGAGCTGACTGAAAAATAGTCACACAAGCAGAGTATACAAAATTTATATTTTTGTCAAAATATTGTATAATGGTAGTTGATGGTATGATATTTTTTTTCTGTTAGTACATATTTAAAAACAATAATCTTTAGAAAATTATGCGCTTTGTATTACAGAATGCCAGTTCCAGGATAGATGGTTACCAAGGCTGGCTTTTACACCTCAGTCTCATGTTTGGTCTTTGAAAAATCTTCTGGTAATAGAGGAAGTCAGATTTCTACAGAAACACATTGAAACCACATTTTTACTCTTCACATAAAGGCGAATTTGATATAAGACCTTTCTACTTTAGATCCCTTCTAAGAGCATTTAGTCACTTTGTAATAATGTAATTTAACATTTTATTTTACTTTTTTTTCTTTCATTTTTCTATAAGATAGGCATTATATCATTTAAAACTGTGGGTTCTGGAGTCAAACCACATGGTTTCAAATCCTACTTCTGTATATCTTTGGTGTGCCTCAATTTCCTTATCTCAAAAATAGAGATTACAGTATTTACTTAATAAATGTTTCTGAATTTAAATCAGATGATCCATGTAATGGACCTAGCACAATGCCCGATATAGTAAAGTCTCAATAGATGTTACCTGTTATAATTATTGTCTAAGTTTGTTTTATCCAAATGTAGGATGTAGTTATTTTAGAAGATTATGTCCCAGAAAGAGGCAAAATATTCTGTTTTCTGGAACCCTTGCTTCTTTTCCTGTAAGAATTTTGTATTGGGATATCCTCAAGTACAGGTGGCCCAGTCCAGTGCCTAGTAATTTCAGTTTCTCGTGGCCCTTCAGTATTTGAAGTGCTTCATATCTAGAATCAGCACAATTATAATGGGAAGTCAAGCAAAACGTTGTTTTTTGCATCAAGAGAGGAGGGCAGAATGTGAGATGGCGTTGACATCTGTGCCTCTGCCCCGGGCCAAAAGCAGAATGGTTACTTGCTGCTGATTTGGCACCCCATCTGCTTCCTTTCTTCCTTTCCCCTGCCTGTAGAGCCCCAAGGATGATGAAGTCAGAAAGAGAAGTTTGGATGTAAAGCATCTTGAACAGGGAAACAGGACAAAGGTTCAGGGAAAGACAGCAGAATGGTAACCCGCTTTTTACAGATGACCTAGCTGGGAAAATGCTAAATCTCCTTTGCCAATAGCAGTTTTACAGAAGTTTTTTGGATGGTGTGAAGGTTAAAAAATACCAGCCTGTTCTAATGAATTCTCATCTTTCTGATATCTAATTCAACAATTTAGTAAACTTTTCTTTTAAAAAAAAAAACACACCTTTTTTTTAAACTCTTGGCCCAGACCTTCAGAATAAGTTCTTTAGTTTTACAAGGTGTCAACAAAAGGAATATCCAAACCTGTAGGAATTTTTGTCAGAGTTTATTTGAGCCAAACTAAAGACATGCCAGGAAGCAAGATCTCAAATGCTCTATCTAGCAAATGACAGTTCCAAACCTTTGGATTTAAGTAGGGAAGTAAGGAAGATTGCATGAAGGTGGGAGAAAGCAAAGCTGGAAAGTATCTATGATAGGATTACAGGACAGTTAGCAAGATTATGTGCTCTCTTGATCATAAGAGGTGGTCTTCTGAGGGGTCTAAATAAGAAGCATTTCAAAGGTATATTACCCTAGATTAGGGGTCGCAAACTGCGGCTTGCGAGTCACATGCGGCTCTTTGGGTACGTTCAGTCTCAAAAGTTTGCCAACCCCTGTCCTCTATGCACAAAAACAATGGCCAGGCCTTGCTTATGTCACTAGGGAAGGCCTGGGGCATGACTACCCACCCACCATGACCTGCCCAGTTAGGAATTCATGATCAAATCACCCTATGAGGTTAATTTCTATCATTGACTTCTTAGAGCGCCCCTTTTTCATTCACAGAGGGGTGCTTTAACTCATGAGTATATTCTTTGTTTCTCTTTCCCTTTAGCTACATTTATCTCATCCCACTTGCCAACTAAATACACAACTAATAAATAGCCTTAATTCCCATTGCAGTGGCTTCTCATTTTAAGGTAACATCTATCCAATCTGACAGGTACAACTTAGGCTTTCTACAAACACGGTTATCTTAGACCCATTTAATTAAAGTTTAAAACACAAAACATCACACAGACACACAAAGGATATCTGTCTGTAGTGTTGTAATTTAACTCTAAGTGATTTTGATTAAAACTTGAGTAATTAAGTAGTAGAGCTAAATCAGCTTACAAATCAGTAGAAAAATCAGCTTATGCTGATTTGTTTTTCAATTATGATTTCTGGACAATTGCTCCAATTTTGATTATGATTGAAAAGAATACAATGTACTTTAATATTGAGTTTTTGGGGGTTATTTTTCATGCTGCTAGGCAATTGTGTTTTATTTTCATTTGAGGTTTTCTAACCTTCATTCAATGGGGCAGTTGACTCTGATTCTAACTTACGTTTTAGAGAATCTTAATTACAATTCATCACGTATTTGGTTTTCATTCAGTGTTTATTTGCTTGCTTGTTTTTTTAAAAGACCTCTATGTTTACTTTCTAGACTGATTTTGCACGATTTAGTGGAACAAATGTGGAAACTGACTTTGTAGAGGTGCCATCACAGATGCTTGAAAATTGGGTGTGGGACACTGATTCCCTCCGAAGACTATCAAAACATTATAAAGATGGAAGACCTATTATGGATGATCTGCTTGAAAAACTTGTTGCTTCTAGACTGGTCAACACAGGTATGGCTTGTAATTTTAGAAAAGGGAAATAAATTTAATTTACTTAATAGAGAATTGCTGGCGTCTTCTTCTATAGAATTAGTCCCCCTTTAGTAATGATAGTACCCCAAAAGTGCTAATATGGGAAGATCGCTAAATATAATACTGAACCCTGGGATTATGTCCAAGAAAAAATTATATCTCACTTTAAATTTTAAATGAGATGTCTTGCTGCA